GCTCTGTTCTTTCCCAGTCATGGCTAGGATCATTAAATCCTAAAAAAATCCCAAAGGCAAGCAACCTAATAAAGCAGTCTTTTGTTCTGAGGCTGGCAAGATAATTCAAACAGGAGGTCAGTCAAAAAAATCACATTTTCCTGAGTGCCCTGGGGAGCTGAGTAGATGAGTGCCCTGCATCTTTCTAACCCCCATGCCATGGCAAGAAGTGAATTTGCATTTAATACAGCCTAAAAACCCATTCAGTGAAATAACTGCAAGGTATTTTCACAGCAAGGCCCTGCTCATGGTGGCTGGCACTTCCCCAGCTCCCTGAGGATTTAGGGAATAATGCCTGAGCTTGTGTGACCCCATTGGCTGGGCTGCCTGACCCTGCATGTGCCATTTCTAAAGTGTGCTGACCCCCCTCCATAGCACCCTGAGAAAGGAAACTTTCAAATATGTTCCTATTTTATATGTATAAACCAGGCTGTTATTTCAGAATGTGCCCCAGGTTTGGTTGTTTTGTGGGGTTTTTGTTTGTTTGCTTGTAGTGCTTAACACAGAAAGATTCTCCCAACACCCCAGTATTCAGTGGTGCAGCTTTATTTTTATGCCTTTTGCCCCAAATCCTCAGTCCATGCTTTCCTCTACAGTTTTTTGTCTATGACATAAGGATTTTCTGCTTAAAAATGGAAGCAAAGATTCAAATTCCCTGGCAAAGCTTCTCATATGGGATACAGATTGTGTCAGCTTATCTGGCTCAAGCCTGTCTGCATGTAAACTTGTTTTCTTTGGAACTTCAGTGGTGCTCTGTGCCTCATTGTTCACATTCTTACAGCTGGGGTTGTGGCAAGGGAAAAATCAGCTTTTTGTTTCTCTCCTGCGCCACTGGGTAGATCACTGCTGATGCGTAGATGGAAATATTTTTTTTTCCTTATAAATGTTTGTACTCAGAAATCAAACTGGAAATGTTCAAAGCCGGGTTGGACAGGGCTTGGAGCAACCTGGGCTAGTGGAATTTTTTCAAAGCAGCAACCCTCAGCAGGGATGGTCAAGGCAGAGCTGCAGCAGTGGGATGGGCAGTGGATGCTGTCACAGGAACAGCAGAACACCAGTGGTTATTCACTGCACGTGGTGCCAAGCAGGGCTATTGCTTAGAGACAGCCACAACTCAGATAACAGCTCCACGTCATGGCTTTTGAGTTCAGAGCTCCCTTGTTCAGGAATGATTTATTGTTTGCTCTTTTTATTCTGCTGGTTTTTCAGATGAATGTCCTGTGAGAGCAGTTGGTGTTGTGTTACTGCTGCAGCACCTGCAATGCGAAACTCAGAATGGTATCAGAGGATGGTTTGGGTTTGGGAAGATTATTAAAGATCATCCAGTCCCGTCCCTGTTGGAACCCTGGTTACTGAGAATTTTAGATTTTCTGTGCTGACAGGCACTGACCCCCAAGAGAACACTGCATTTGACCTAAAGCCGTAAAGACTTCCAAAATTTAATGATAAAACTAAGATTATAATGAATGATAAAACTGAGATTATGATTAAAACTGAGATATACTGAGATTAGAAGTATAGTTTGAATAGAAATGTGTAATATCACATAGTAGAAAACTTAAAGATTTTAGAATACAGTAATATATATAAAGCAAGATGAAAGCTTTAGGACAGAGACTAATCCTTCTTCTTCACCTTCTTCAAGGGTTTAGGTGGTACTCTGTAATTAGGTAAAATTCCACATTACAAGCTACAGGTAGTTAGTTGTTAGGTTACAAGTAAAAATAATTTAAGTGTAATTTCTTAATTAGACAGTTTATCCTTAAAAAACATTGCAGAGAGAGAGAGATAAGATTCCATTTTTAGTTAAGAGTGAAGTGCTGTAGAACTCACAGTCTGTGAGACTGTAACATAGATAAAAACTAATAAACATCTAACTCCGAACAAAAAATACCATCTCAGGTGTTTAATGCCAACCCTGCACCCATCCCAACTCCCACACCACATCCTCATCTCTATCCCCATGTCCAGCCTCATCCCCATCCCTACACCCTGTCCCTGTCACCATTCCCACTCCCATTCTCATCCCCAACCCCATCCCCATCCTCATTCCCGACAGGGAAGATGTGTGCTGATGTCTTTACAAACAATTCCACAGCTGAAGGGATGGCTGTTAATGGCTTTGAAATGGTGTTTAATGTCTCTACCAGCTTCAAGCAGAGGGTTTGTGCAGAGCCCGGGCAGTCTGACTCCTGAAAGAAATGGGGCCTCACAACCCTGAGTTTCTAAACTTTGGGGTAAATAACCTGTTCAGGGGGGTATGTGGCAGGCAGTTTGGGAAGGCTGCACCTTCGGCCAGGGGGGAAGGAAGAGGGCACCGAGGGTCGGAGTTTGGGGTAAAAGGAGGCTGCGCCCTCCGGAACCTCGAGAGAGAAAACCCCGCGGGGATGTGCCCCAGGGCCTCTCTGCCTGTACCTGGGTAAAGCTGCAGGATCCTCTGTCTCCTTTATGGACACTGCCTTTTCCCAGCGGGATTTCCCCACACACCATCACCATCCCGAGGCACCCCCAGCCCCGTTCCCAGCCCGCTCCCCTTGGTCCCAGCCCCGTTCCCAGCCCGCTCCCCTTGGTCCCAGTCCCATCCTGGTCACATCCCTGTTCCCAGCCCGCTCTCCCTGGTCCCAGTCCTGTTCCCAGCCTGCTCCCCCCGTTCGCCAGTCCCGTTCCCATCCCGGTTCCCAGCCCGCTCTCCCGGTCCCAGCCCCAGTTCCCAGCCCGTTCTCCCTTCCCAGCCCGCTCTCCCGGTCCCAGCCTGGTTCCCAGCCCGTTCTCCCGTTCCCAGCCCGCTCCCGGTCCTCCGGCGCTGTCCCGGCGCTCCCCGCGCGGCCGCTCCTGCCGCTCCTCGCTGGTGAGGCGGGCGGGGCCGGCGCCGGGCGGAGCGGGGGCCGAGGCCGCAGGGCCGCCGGGGGAAGGGAGGTGAGCGCCGGCGGAGGGTCCCGGCTGGGCAGGGGGACACCGACCCTGCTCCGGAGAGTCCTGGCTGGGCAGGGGGACACCGACCCTGCTCCTCATCCTCTTCCCGTGCTCCTGTCCGCGGGGCGGGGCGGTCCGGGATGTGTGGGGGGAGCGAACTGGGAGGGGACCGGGGTGAAATTGGGGTGTGGGGGTGTCTGGGGCGTTGGGAAGGCGATGAGGGGAGTTTGGGGATGTGGTGGGGGGGGGGAGCAGGGGGGTGTGCATGTTGAGATATAGGATATAGGATTTGGGGGTTCTTTGGGGTGCCTGAGGGGTGGAGGAGGAGGAGGAGGCGTGGGTTGGTTGGGGATGGCTCGGGGTGGGCAGGGATAACGTGGGAGCTGCGGGATGGGGGTAAGGTTTTGGGGTGTCTGGAGGGATGTGTGGAAGGCCTTGTCAACACAAAGTAGAGCCCCGACTGAGGGCATGGGTGTGTTTGCTTTCGAGGTACCCGGGTTTGTTGAAGAGTGTGGGAAGAGGCTTCTTTTGGGGATTTTAGGATGCTTAATGTGGGGGAGGAGAGGTGTGAGTAGGGTGTAGTTCTGTGTAATGTGAGTGGAACAGGATGTATGTAGGATGGGTCCTTAGGTGGGATCCTGAAGGGACAGGGATGAGCTGCTGGGCTTGGGGAGGCATCAGGATTGAGGTGGATGAGGTGGGTGAATATTTGAGACCAGGTGAATTTGGTGTTTCTGAGAGATGAAGGAGGGGCAGAGCATCACAGAGTTGTTGCAGTGTGGTTTGGAGGATTGTCTGTTGGAATAGTGGGATTGATGTGGGAACAGGATGCTGGGGTTGGAGGTTTGTGTGTGCTTCATTTCTGGTAATCCACAGGAGTGTGTGCAGACAGATTTGTGATGGTAAGGGTTTTTTCCACATGCTTCCCTTTGGGGATAAGAGTAAGCCTGTAGGATTTATAGGAGCCTAAAAGCTCTGGATATGCACAAATCCTGTGTTAAATTTTGAGATAGCGGCGTGTTTTCAAATTGCTTTTATTCACTGCTCAGTCTGGAGAGGGGGTCTGGTTGTGTGTATCTGCTCAGCACTGCTGGGAGCTTGGAGGAAGGTCAGCTGGGAAGGATCAGGTGGTTACTGGTGCACTCTTAGAAAATGATAAATTTAACAGTGGTCTGGGTTTTTTTTTTAATATATCTGAGAAGAAGATAAACTCCACTTTGTGATCCCTCAGGGAGGTGATAAATCTCCCTCGTGAGCCACATCCTTGTTGGGTGAGACCCAAAGCAGCACTGGAGCTGCAGCTCAGGTTTTGTGTTTGATGAATCAACCAGAATCTCTTTCATGTTCATCCCACCTGTAGCTGTCCAGGGCTCCCTCTGGAGATACCTGCCTGAGGAAGGATGCTTTAGTGCAATAGTTTTGGTCATATATCAAGCTGTCATATGTCCAAAGAGTTTCACATTTTGCATCAGGGCCGTGGGAATATCCAGTAAATTTTTTGGCTCTTCCTTCAGCAGGAAGGTCAGAACTGGACAAAGCAGATGGGGTTGAAGCTGGACACCTCTAGAGAGGAGGGAAATGTGTGTGAACAGGGAGAGAGCGAATTATTGAGAGAAATCCTGGTCCCATATTTTGGGAGTAGTGTGCCATTCTTGGAATGAAACCTGCTTTTGATGGTGAGATAATTTCTGAAAGAACCACGTTTATGATATAATCTCCCTCATGAACTCTGCACTGGTTTGCATTTGCTTTCACAGCCTTTTGAGCAGATTGTTTTCTAAGTCCGGGCAATCAAGCAGGAGTTTGTTGAGCATTTGGGGAAGCGTGGCCTGGTGGGTTGGGTGTAATCTTCTTACCCAGAGGAGCTTGTGTAACACACAGTAAAGTGCAGGAGGTCTGATTGAGACTGCCTTGATAATCCCTGCTCAGCCAGGGGAGAGTTGGCTGCTCCCTGGGAAGTGAGGGAAGGGGAAATTGTGCTCCAGGTCACTTTGACACACTGAGGAATTGTTTATTCTGAGATTGGGGCTGTTAATGTGAGTCTTGCACTGGGCAGTTTTACTCTGAAGCGTTGTTGGGTGTACAGGTGCTTCAACAAATGAAAAAAAAAATCAACTTTGTTTCCTTCAGTCCTAAATTATTTCTTCTGAAATAATTGCTTGAAATACTTCCCAAGGTTCTGCTTTGTGCCAGATGCTGCCATGATGTTATCACTTGTGAACTCTGCAAGATCTGAATGCAAAGCCTTGAGTTCATTGCCCGAGTTCAGAGCCAAGGTCAAAGAGCTGCCACGTCCTGGCGGTGGAGGATCTTTGGGCTGCTGATGGTGAGCAAACAGAGAGACTGCAGGAGGAAAGGGCAGCCAGGGTGACACAGTGACAGCACCGAGCCACCTCCCTACGTGCACACCTTGATCAGCTGTGCCACTTTGTGCTTGGGCACAGGTGACGTGGCAGCACTGGCTTGCAAGCAGTTAAAATTCCAAGGGCTGTGCCATTGGTGGCTGTCACTTGCCAAAACCACACAGCTCTGACCATCATCTGATGGGAGAGCAGCGAGGGCTGTGCCAAAGGAAAAGGAAAACCCAACACCTCTTTTTCTGAGGAAGGAGAGTGGATTCCTTTCTCCAGTGAAGTCTGGCATTTCATTTGGAAGTTTTCCTGGATCTTTCTTTCCCAGACCAGCTGATGGCAGCTGAAGCATTAGGCCCTGCAGCAGGAAGGTTTGTACATCTTGGAAAGTTGGAAAACTCTCTATGTGTAGTTGGTTAACTGGAGGTGATGTTATCCTTGGTGATTAATAAAAAATACAGATATTTAAATTTAAACTCTTGCTGTTAGTGGCATAGGGTGCTGAATAATTTCATGGGCTGGGTAGGTTTTAGGAAGTGTCTTTGATTTCTCAGTTTGATGCTTTTTCATTGTCCTGATCATCTTCTGGCTGTTTTGGAGTTATTTTGGAGCTAAACTTCATCAGCATTACCAAAATGTAAAACTGCAATTCTCAGCAACTGTGCTTAGAAGTTGGCTGTGTTAAAGTTAATATTTCTGTTAAAGTTCATATTTTTTGGGTTTATTTCACTTTCATATAAAAGTTATCTGCACTGTTTTAGCAAAACTTATGAGCACATTGAAGATTGATGGGATGTTTCAAACTGATTTATAATAACCGTGATTATTGTTGAAATTCTTTTTGATGTGTGAGTTTGTGAGCTTAGTTTGCTTTCACAACTTAAATGACAGCTGGAAGAGAGCTTTGAGAGGGATTGTGGAAAAAAATCACATCTAATTCTTTAATCTCCATTTGAAAAGTTCAAGATAACACTTCTCAAGAGATGTCTGATCTTCTGTAGTTTTCAACTGCTTTTCTAAGGAAACAAGTTTTGTGCCATTGTGCTTTCTGCTAATTCCTCTGATAATTATGCTCTGATAATTGCAGTTGCTTTAACGTGCTGGCACCTTGGACAGAGGGATGGTTCCCCCAATTTCTGTAGGAATGGTTCCTGTGGGGTAGAAATGAGATCCTCTCAGTGCTGCCTGTGGCAAGAACTCAGCCCTTATCAGACATCAGGAGAGTTTCTGAATTAGAGGAGGTTTTGCTCTCTGGACTTCTCAGACGAGAAAAGCTCGTCCTGATGAGCCACATTTCAAAGACACTTTGGCATCCTAATGAATTGTGTGGTACAGGGCTGGTCAAAGAAGTTGTCTCTTTCCAAAGTCTGAGTTCACAAAGTGTTTTTTCCCTTCTTTTTATTTCCCCAAGGCTTTATTTGTGTAGTTTGGCTGAAGCCAAGTAAATGCCTTTGGTTGTCCTTTTTTTCCCTTTGTTTAATTCCTTGAGTTGTTTGTGATAATTCCTTAAAACCTGCTGATTTAGAGCTGCTCTTTTACTGATATAACTTAAAAAACTTATGATTGGGGCATCATAAATATTTTGCATATCATTCCACAGCATCTTGGAATGAGTCTAGAAATGAATGTATTGGGTAAGAAAATGAGCTGTTTATTTTCCTTCAGGCAAAACACTTCCTAGGATATGTTTTCCCACTTCACAGGAGATGGTAAAAATGCATGTAAATACAGGTAATTAATTAGGTTTTTAAACTCATTTTTAATTAGTTCATTCTGATTCTCTTTCAGAGATGATATGAAGTGCTGTTAATCCTCTGACACCGTGCCCTGGATCCTCATGGTATGTCTGAAGGACACATCTCTGCATGGTCTGAATATGCCAGGTGAAGCCCAAGAATAACTTTTCACAGGAGTTTGTGACCTCTAAAAGAGGAAGAAGTCAAGAGAGGGCAACTTTTATTCTATATTTAGCCCTAGGTGAGTCTGTAAAAAGAATCTGATGGGCTCTAACCTAAAATTTATTTTCGGACTTTTGTGTTACACTAGAAAATAGAGAAGTGCTACACTCAGGCAGCTTTTTGGAGCTCCAGTGGAGATGAAGCACATGAGTGGGATGTGGGCTCAGCACAGCAGCTTCCACAAACACCTGTGAGAGCTTTACTCAGCCTTTCTGGTGCTTTGGGCAAAGCAGGAGGGAAAACAAGAATATTTTTCAGGTAGATAATTGCCCTATCAAATCCCCTGCCTCACCTTTTAATCTGAGAGGCAAGAAATGGGCACAGCCATGAGTTTTGAGAACAGTTTGGTTGCCTTGCAGTGGCAGAGGTGTCACCAGAGGTGCTGTGTGGTGGTTCCAGTTGTTGGTTTCTCTGGGTCTGCACTGAAGGCACTTGAGGCAGTATTTCATGTTCAGACTCAGGTGTTTATTATTCCTTATCAGTAAAACAGTCTCACTACTGTGAGTTCAGCTTTTCATCAGAAGGCACAAAATGGCCACAATCTCTGGTTCCAAGGTCTTTGAGACTAAACTATCCAATTAAGAACTGACACCTAGATTATTTTCCCTTTTAACCCAATAACTGATCCCAAAGAGCCCCCAGTGTGGACTTTTCTGCCCAATTACAAAATGCCACCCAAACCCACGAAGAAGAAGAAGAAGAAACATGAAGAACAAACCCAGGACAGCACCCTGTGCCCTCCATCTTGCTTCCATCCACAACATACTAAAAATCCCAAAACCTAAATATCTCACCAAGTGACACACCTACACTGCTCTCCATAATCTATTTCACACTTTTGTGGGTTCTGGTCTATCTTGAAGTCCAGGAAACTTTCTCCATGAATGAGGGTCAGAGTCAGTGCTGTCCTGGGGGTCAGGGCACCCCAGAGCAGACACAGAAATATTCCCAAAAGTGCCCTGGGTTTCCCCAGTGCTGTTCAGTTCCAGTGGTGAATTCGCTCTCATCCTGCCTGGAATTTCAGAACGAGCTGACTTAAACCTTTCATTTCCAGATTGTCCTCATGAATACTCCCGTGGAGAATGTCCATGATCTTCTTTGCCTGTGTGGTGAGGGTGAGGGATGGGCTTCCCCTCTCAGCCTCCACAGATTTCCATCTCAACCAGGACTTTCTGGACTGCAGGAAGAGGCTGAAGGCTCTGTCCTCGATCCTGGCGCGGTACCCCAGTCGGGGCACGGCCAAAGGACGTAACCTGAGCATCCAGTGAGTCCCTGCTCTGCTTTGCTGGGAGCTTTTTGGCTTTAATTTATGAAATATTGCTCTTGGGGGTTAGTATTACATTGAAATCATACTGTGGGTGTGGTCTGCAGTGCCTGATTCCAGCCTGAAATCCCACACTGCTTGTGTAGGGTGTGAACTGCAATAATTTTGAAGTCTTATTCCTCACTTGCTACTCAATGTAGTGAGCATGTGCTTAGTTATATATTTGTATATTTATATATATATTTATATGTTAATATATTGTATTTTGCGTGTTAATTTATATAAATATACTTACATAACTGTTATTTGTTTTGTACTGTATTATATTTACATAGATTTCATTTTGCACTTACATTTATACATATAAATTCACATACATTTCAACATATTTACATACACATACACAAACACAATATTTATTCATATTTAGTTATATGTTTAGATACCTACACAATATTTACATACATTTAGTTATATAGTTTATATGCATACACAATATTTATACACATATAGTTATATATTTTATATGCATACACAATAATTATATGTATTTAATTATATCTTTTATATACATACACAATAGTTATTATTAATAGTTTAGTTGTATCTTTTATATACATACACAATAGTTATATGTAGTTAGTTATATATTTTATACACATATACAATATTTATACATATTTAATTATATATTTTATATGCATACACAATATTTATATGTATTTAATTATATCTTTTATATACATACACAATAGTTATTATTAATATTTTAGTTATATATTTTATATAGATACACAATAGTTATATGTAGTTAGTTATATATTTTATACACATATACAATATTTATACATATTTAATTATGTATTTTATATGCATACACAATATTTATATGTATTTAATTATATCTTTTATATACATACACAATAGTTATTATTAATATTTTAGTTATATATTTTATATAGATACACAATAGTTATACGTGTTTAGTTATATATTTTATACACATATACAATATTTATACATATTTAATTATATATTTTATATGCATACACAATATTTATACGTATTTAGTTATGTATTTATAGATACCTACACAATATTTATACATATTTAGTTATATATTTTATATACATACACAGTATATATATGTATTTAGTTATATATATTATATACATACATAATACTTTTGCACATTTAGTTCTATATTTATACATATATACACAATATTTATACACATTTAGTTGTATATTGATATTTCTTATTTGTATATATTTTGCTCATGTTAATTTTCATTTCTTGTGGCAAAAATGGGCAGTGCTTGTTACTTTAGCAGTTGGAGAATCATGGATCTTTACAAATCCCTTTAAGAAGGCATCCAAGTGCCTTGGAATTATTTACTTTAGGAGAAGAAATTTATTAAAGGAATTACAGAGAAAGAAATGAAAAAAATTGTTTAAACTCATTTAAGAAGTGAGTTTTAGCTTCTGATTGCATTTCTGATGTGCAAATGGAAGAAAACTTTAAGTGACCCTAAGCTAAAACTAAGCATCCCTTTTTGGGGGGAGTTAAAAAACACATGAATTTCCACTGAAACAGATGGAAAAGCAGAGATTTTCATCTCAGTTCCTTTTCACTCAAAGCCAACTTTGTGCCCTTTGATGCCAACAAGTCCTGCTGCTTTTAATCTGCTGTGGTCTGTGCAGCAGCTCAGCCTGGCTCTGCAGTGAGAGCAGTGCAATTGGATCCGTGGCAAAAAGGCCATAAATTATGGACAACTTGGAAAAGGTGCTTTTAGGCAGGCATGGTGTTGATCCCAGCTGGGAGCTGGGAGCAGCAGGAATTTGGGGAAGCTCCCCGGTGGAACTGGGCTGGCAGAGCCAAGCAAAACTGTAAATCCCAAGTCCACAGTACAGCAAATAAATAAAAAATGAGGTGAAATAGAAACCGTGGGTGGGAAATGAAGTTGGGGTAAAATATAGGAACAGGAGGAAGGAGACAAATTGTTCAGTTTCAAAACTTGGGTGTGAAACTGATTTCCTGCTGACAAATGGCTGGGCTGCCAGGGAAGATGTCCCTGAGAAATCTCCTGGAAGGATTGGACCATCTGCAGGTGGAAAGTTTTACATAAATATGGATTCAGTCTTAGAGGAGCCCCTTCTAGAGTAAATTTTTATTGTGATGAAGCAGGAGGTGTTTGAAAATCTTGGGTTGTACAAATTAGCAAGTATTTCTTGCTGTTAATATGATGTTGCCATCTGCTTCCTGATAACAAACTTCCTTGCTTTTATTTTTTTTTCTGCATTTTCTTTCAAAATTGGTTTTCTGATCACCTTGGTTTTTATTAAGGTGATTTGAAGCCAGCCTGGGAAAAGAATGTCCCCGATTTGTACTGATGTACCAATTTAATAAAGTCTGTGTTGTGCTCTTCACTGTGCTCAGGCATCCTGGATGAGTTAAGAATGAATAATTGTGTAAAAAAAAATAGATCTACAGGGATTGCAAGACTTTGACAACAACAAAAATCCTTTTTTTTTTTTTTCCAGTCTGCTCTCACAGCTCAGTCTGTACATTTTGTTCTGACAGACAGCACAGCTTCATCCTCACATTCAGCAGGACTTTCACCTTTTTATGTTGATATGATGTTTTTTAAAATTTCTCTTTCAGTTTCCTTTCTTCTGGGGATATTGCCTGCATGGCAATCTGCTCCAGCAGCTACTCAACCATCATGGCCTTCTGCTTCCTGGAAGAGCTTCGCTGGGAATTTGCTGCTTCCTACAACACAAGGAGCATCAATTCAGCTTCCAGACCATATGCTTTTATTGAATTTGGTTTGTAACTTTGTTCTCTAATAGTAAAAATCCTCTCTCTGCCAAACTGATGGTGTTAAACAACATCTCCTGGCTAAAGGCTGATGATGAAAGTGACTCTGGGTGTGCCTTTGCCTGTGTGTGGAGGAGGAGGAGGAGATCTTAATGCCCTAAACTATTTGAAGTATTTGGTTTGGAGTTCCTGAGAGTTCATCTATTATGAACAAAATGCTGTGGTGATTGATGAACAAGCAGAGAAGAAAAGAGAAATTGATATCTCAGACACTTTCTAACTTAATTAAAAAAATCTGACAAGTGAGGAGAGGTGAGTACAGGAAAAATGGAGACAGAATAGATTATTATGGGCAGCTTTATTTCTGGCATGACTTGGCATCAGAATACTTCAGAACCATGCCCAGTGGTTCTTTTTTAGCCTGAAATAATTGGTTTTCTTGCCAAGTAGCAGCTGCTCTATTGAACTTCACACCTTTGAAAGACACAATTCCCTTGCAGTGAAAAAGCTTTCTGGGAAAGGATAATATCCTGCAGTGTGTTTGCACTCTTCAGTCCAGATTTCAGTAACAGTGCTAAACTCAGGCTTAAAAACTTGAGAAATCCATCAGGAAAGCTTCTTTTAGAGCCATCTTGGATTTTGGGTGGATTCCCCTGCAGGGCACATTACAGCCAGGAAGTAATTTCATGCTGAGATCCACATTACTTGTTTTTTTTTTTTTAACTTGAGTGGGAGTTGGGGGAATTTCTAGCCTCTTTTAATTGCATAAAGCTTATTTTTCAAAGAAAAAATACATTTCTAAAAGAATTTTTACTCTTATACTTTATTAAGTTACTGAGTGCCTAATATTGCTGTGTGGTTATTTATTTATTAATTTAATCATCTCCTCTCCTATGTTTGGATCTAAGATGTGCTTGATGCTCAAGATTTTAATAATTTGTTTGGTAGTTACAGATCACTTTTATTATTTTTTAGATTGGATATTTAAAGCAATTCTTTCCAGTGAGGTTGGGGAGGCACAGCTTCTCAGAGAAGCTGTGGCTGCCCCTGGATCCCTGGAAACATCCAAGGCCAGGTTGGACAGGGCTTGGAGCAACCTGGGACAGTGGAAGGTTTCCCTGCCATGGCAGAGGGTGGGATTGGATGATCCTTAAGGTCCCCTCCATCCCAAACCTTTCTATGCTATGAAATACCTAAAAGAAATATTTTTGTCCCTAAGCAGCAGTGGAATTTTATGCCTGAACCCAGTAAGAAATGAAACAAAGCAATTAAAACAACCAAAGAGTACGCCATGATATGATAAAATATCACCACAATTAAGGTTTTAACAGCACTAAGGATTAATTAAGCAGTCCTTCAGAGATGACTTGAGCAGCTTTTCCTGTTCTTTCAGATAACACCATTCAGAAGGTGAAACACCATTTCAACAGCACCCGTGGCTCCAGGGCCAAGGGCAGCTGGGAGAGGGTGGAGGAGGAGCTGAAGCTGCAGCCCCCAGTGCAGCTGCAGCTGGAGGCCACGGAGCTGCTGAACGGGCTGAGCAACGGAGGGCACGCAGGAGGCCGTGTGGAGGTTGGTAAGTTACTTCTACACCAGGTGACAGGAGATTTCCTCACCCTCACGTTGGTGCCAGGCGGCAGGATGGTAGAAAAACACGTTCACTCTTTGTTCTGGTTTGAAAGCAAAACCAGGGAGAGACTCCAGGTCAGAAATACAATTGCAATTTATTAGGAAAATGAAAAAAAAAAAATACATGCAATAAAACAAAAGAAAAACCACTGACAGAGTCAGAATACAACCTGACACTCTGTTGGTCATAGTCCAGTTGGAATTGTGGCTGCAGCCCTCCTGGAGTGTCAGGGGTGGTTCTGTTGGAGCAGGGATCCTGTAGAAGGGTGGAGTCTTCCTCTGAAGATCCAGTGGAAAAGGCAGCTGTTCCTCTGGGAATCCAGTGGAAAGGCTGTTCTGGTGTCCCAAAAGCTGAGATTCTATCCAGGTAGGAATGCTTGGCTCCTCCCCTGAGTGGAGCATCTCCCCATGGGATGCTGGAATTTGATCAGCCCTGCAGGGACACTCAGTGGCCATGGACAGCAGAGATCTCTTGGAGAGAGGATTGGTTTTTGGAAGAGATAAAGAAAACTGCCCAATGAACAGAAGCCCCACTTCTGACAGATGGCAATAGAATACATACTGCCTTGCAACCTAGGGCACTCTTCTGTGAAAATGTAAAAAGTTTAATAAAGGACAATAGGAGGCAAGGACAATAGAGAAAGGGTTATTATGATTGGCTGCATCTTGGCACTGAGCCAAGAGCACCCTGTTATCTTCAGGGATACCCCTTAAATACCTTTTAATTACATCAGCCTATAGATGTAATAGAGGTCTATATACATAGACCCTTGTGCATAGTAAACTTTTCCCCAAACTACTTCACATGTTGCAAGAATTGTTTAGCACGGCTCCTCCTTGGATCTGTCTTTTTAGAGCATGCACATTCCTTGGTTGTGGCTTTAGTCTGTTTTTATCACCTCCAGTGTTTGGGCCTTGGTCCACTCTGCCTTCAGAGGGCACATCTGGCTGGCACATCTGCACAGGTGTGCTCATCCTGTGTCCATTGGGTGTGATCCCATCCCAGCAGGCATTTTAACACAAGCACACTGACATCAGCTTAATTTAACATAAGCACACTGAGCTTAATTAACAGCAGAAATAAAAACTGTATCTTTATAACAAAGTGGCTTTAACATGACACACATAAAATCTGTTTTAATATTTGCAAAAAGCCAATAATATAATTTGTATCTATAACAGTAGAAATGCTGCAACATCCCTCAAAGCATCTCCTTCAGAAGCTGCTCAGAGTAAGGCCATGGGAGCCATTTCAAGTCCATGCACACACACACACCACAGATAGCTCAGGGGAGGAAGGACAGGAAGGATCTTTGTGTGATGGATTCCAGCAAAGGTTTATTGCATTCACCATGCCAAAGGGATCAGGGACAAAGACAAAAACCATGTGGTCTGCACAGGCTTAAGTGTGGGGTCAGTGATTTGAGGGTACAGGGATGGTGCAAAGGGCAGCAAACTAGGGAGGATGAGGGATGAACAATTGGGTGGGCAGGGTCAACTGGCCAGTGGGGGAATTTAAATAAAATTATAATAATTCAGAGGGAGGGGGATTTACATTTTCCATTTCAGGGGAGGCTTCTGCCTTCCTAGCAGACACCTGGCTTTTCAAACCAAGAGATATTTCTAATGTAGATTGGCAATAGTGCTGCAGAGCACCATGGGGAAAAGTCCTCTCTTTCAGTCTAGGTGGGGAAAACTCTGTGGTGGATCTTTCCAGGACAAAGCCTGGTTTATTACATTCCCACAACTCCCCTGTTCTTTCTTACTATGAAGACTTTCTCAATGGATTTTTGTAGGTACTTAACTAAACAGGGAAACTTAAGTAAAATGATAAAAACAATGATTCAAACCTACAAAATCTGTTTGGCAAAAGATGAAAACCATCTTGTCAACCCCGTTGTCTGAAAAGTTCATTGGTGTAATCTGAGTTCTTCTCAATTTTAATTCCTTTACTTGCTCCTTCAGCTTCTGGGTGTGGATAGATGTTGAGTGTGAAGAAAGGCAGAAGCAGCACATCTTTTCCAAATCTTAGCACTTATGTCCCTGGGCAAGCAGTGAAAAGTCTGTTGTTTGGTTTTATAGTGTTACATGCTTGGTGTTTTTGGCATTTGTTAGCAGCTCACTCAGTGCCTAGAACACAGCATTGGTTTGCTTACTTAGCACTTTCAATTCTCTTAGCATTTTTCAAGTTTTTGCAGCAGCATCTTCAGGGGCCAATACTCAGGCTGCTGTTTTCTTTTTTCTACCTCAAAAGTCAGTTTTGTTTTGGCAGTCAGATTTAAATTGATGGACAAATCTGCTGTACTTAATTTTTTGATCATGAATTGTGGCCCACAGCACATGGTAGAAAAACATGTGGGGATTCCTTGTGTACCAAGAAATGTTTATTTACACTGTGTATGTGAAACCAAAAAAGGCTTTTTCCATCATAGTAAACAACATATGGGCTTTACATTGCAGCAGGTATGCAGCAGAGCTTTGGAGACTGCTGTGGAGTCTTCTTCCAGCCTTACAGCTTCCTCTCTGTATGGAAAATAGAGGCTGGGCTTGATATTTTCCATGTGCAATTCTCGCAAACCCTTGCTTGTTCAAATTTCTAAAGAAGCTCCACTGATTCATTCATTGCTTGTTGCAAATTCATAATGAAAGATCTATAATTCAGTCTGAATGAGTTTCTTCAGCCTTGAGGGAAAAGAAGATGAGAAAAATATGAGCTGAGGGTCACCTCTTGTTCCCACATTGTCTGGCTTGAGTTGTTCTCCCCTCTTTGCTTTTTCCTTTTACCTTATTTTAAAAAAAGTTAATACATTTGACTAAAATTCTGAAAGAGGCTTTGTGGATCTGTATAAATAACACAGAGGCTTGACAAGGGCCTTTTTAATAATAAAACCTGATGTTTTACCTGCTTTTGAGGTACCAACCTTTGATTCTTTATTACAAAACTGGTATCTTTTACTTGTGTTTCAGTTGCACAGTCAAGGTCCTGCCTACCTCCTCCACAAATGAAATCCTAGAGTTATTTAGGTTGGAGAAAACCTTTCAGATCATTGAGTCCTACCAGAAACCAAACCCTGCCAAGTCCACCACTAAACCATTCCCTATTTTAATCCTATTAGCACGGTGGTTTAAATGCAGCTGCAGTGCCATGAACTTATATTTCCTTTTTTTGTTGTTGTTCTTGGCTTATGAAACACTAATAAAATTAAGTTCCAGTTGCTCAGTCTTATTGTTTATGATAGATGAGCTGGAATCTAAGTTGACATAGGTATTTTAAATTAGAGTATGGAAGGGCACTGGCCAGGAGGAATTAAAAATAGAATGGAAACCACTTCATTTGCCAGTCAGATTTGTGAGTGCTTCTCAGAGCTGTGCTTGAAGGTTAAATCTTTTCATGTTATGACAGGGCTTAGAAATTCTTTGCACTTTTTCTTTAAATTTTGAACAGCTTCAGTGCCAGTAAATATTTGTGATCTAGTCTGTGTCCACAGATCAGAAATACATTTGCACTTCCCTCTTATTCCTAATTGCTTTCCTTTACTTTCCATCTGGCTTTTTATTTCTGGCTGTACTCTCTGGTCTAACCCAAATACTCTCACAGATTGTTCTGCCTTTATTTTAAGGATCATGTTTATGATCATCTGTTTGCCTCCACTGGAGTCAGCTTTCCTGGCTTGTGTCTCTCTCCTCTCATCATCCCCTCCCAGCTGAATCCCACTTTGCTGCTCTAAGTTTAGCTGTGTGCATAGTGTTTGTTCCATATTAATGTTATTTATACCATGGCTCTGCTCTGCAAGAGGCTGTTTGAAATGCTGTGGCTGCAGGAGAGCAGGATTGAATTGTGACTGCACTCCCTGGTGCAGATTGATTGATCCAGGGCTGATCCAAACATCCCTTCCTCACATGGCTGGAGCTGCTGCTGGCCTCTTTGGAGCTGGGTGAGCTCATCCTCTTCCTCTTCAGTTTGCTGTGAAAGGGGCTAGAAAAGTCAGGGCAGCTTTGTCCTTGTTAGCATTCAGGAGAACAAGAGTTTTTTCCCTTCTTACTTCCATTCTTTCTGCTGTTTGTTCTTTCCTTTTGTTAACTAAACCCAGCCCAAAATCCCTTCCCTTGTGCCCTTGCTCAGCACCCCACAGCCCTGGCTGCTGCTCGGAGCTCACTGGTGTCAGTGTGGGCACAGCCAGAGGACACGGGGCTGTGTGCAGGGCACAGGGGGGCTCTCTGTGGCCAGGGGGGGTTTGCACATCACAGCTGCCTCTGGCAAGCAGCAGAACAACCTGTGCCACTGCTCTTGTCAGCCAGCTGGAGAATCCTGCAGCTCCCCTTGGTGAGTGTTCTTCATCTTCCACAGGCACACAGGGAGTCCTTCAGAGGCCTTTCCAAGGGGCTGCTTTTGAAGCTGTCTCACTCCCTGCCTTTTGTGTGCTTGTATTTCAGTTTAAGCTGTTGGAGTGTGATTTAATGTCTCACTCGTGGTGCTCTTTCTGCAGAGCTCTGAGTGAGTGACTCAGTGTCCAGCCTTGTGCTGTGCCTGCAGGAGGCAGATCCAAGCTGCTGCACACTCTGGTGTCTCCTTCCAGTGAAATAGCCACAGGCCTCTGCCAGAAAATCTTTCACAGGCAGAGGTTTCAATTTCTTCACTGTGTGAGGATGTTTGCAGTTATTCTGCACATGTTCAAACCTGCTGGTGCATCACCCACAGCTCCCAGAATGTTTCTGTTTGGATCTTGTGCTCTGAAGTGCACAACTTCTGTGCTTGAAGAGTCAAATCAATGTGAACCCTAATTGGTGTTTATTTGTGCTTGTGCAGAGTGGTGCTGTCTTGGACTGAGTGTTTGTACTCTTCTTTTCCCTTATTTAATATAAGAGGCCATTCCAGTATGAAATTCTCATTATAAAAATATGACAGACTTCACCCAAGAAAGTGAAATAATTTTTCCTTAGTAGGACCCATCTCACTTCTCTGTGCAATTTCAGTTTGTGAGTTAAACTTCACAATTTAACAGCACAAATAAATCTCTGCAGCAAACCATTTCAAGACCAGTTTTCACAGAATCTGAACCCTGAGCAACTGGATGTTTTAATCTCCCCTGAATCTGTGACAGCAATTTTTTTTATCCTCCTGGACTAAAAAAAAAAAAATGTAACTTTTACATAATATTTCATGCTACAGAAGCAATATATTGAGACCTACATTGTTCTTACCTAGGGACAGGGGACTCTTGGCATGTGTAGTTTGCAGGATTCTGCTCAATGAATGACATTTGTATTTGATAATTATAATTTGGTTGAGAGACATTTATGCCTCTGAAGTAAACCTTAGAAATAGAGGAAGAAAAACAGTCTTTATTAGGAAATAATCTGTGGGAGAGTTACACACATATATATATATATATATATAGCTGCAACATTAGTTAATCAAAAGTAGGAAGTAGGAATAACAGGAAAAGATAGAAGGAAACTGAATTCTGGGGTCAGGGAATGCATAAGGATGCTGCTACAAGTTCTTTGTAAATGTCACTGTGTAGCAAAAGAAAAGCCAAATTGCCTTTGAGTGACAGAGTTACACCATTCTGTCTGTAATACCCAGTAATGCTCCCTGAAGTGACACACATCAAATTGAGTTGATCCAGTTCCTTTGGAGCTGAAATTGTGGGTGTGTGAGTGCATGCCAGACAAATTAATTACAGAGACACGGATGAAAGGTGCTTTACATCCCTTTATTAATTTGGCACCAGAGTTTTTTACATCCATCTATCAAAATGTGGCTTGAAGGAGAAGGCAGGAGTGTTTTCCTCTCTGAAACTTCTTTCCTTTTTCCCTGTGGTGGCTCTTGTGGTGATTAATCTGTCGCTCTAAAGAAAGCCAGAGGTGCAGTTTATCTGTAATAAATAAAGAGATAAATAATCAGATAACTAGGATCTGGATACACCTGGACACAGGGAGAAGATGGTTTCCTTGAGGGCTCATTCATTCTCTCCTGTGTCTTGGGTGCAGGAGAAGATCTGGATTTGATATCTGAGCTGGAAATTATCATTTTTTATGAAACTGAGTGTCCTTCTTGTGGTGATCCAAGGGCAGGGATGAACTGTAGGTGAGGATCAAGGTGTGGAATCTGTTGTTGGACAAGTGCTGGAAAACTGGAGGTGTGCTCTTGGCCGAGCCTGAATTAAAGACAGCAGATTCCAAAGCTAAACACACATTTATGATAATTACTTTGACCTTAATTAGGGATGTATCAATGAGGTTATCATGCAGAACTGCTGTTCAGCAGTGTGGGTGTTAAGTAGTAGCAGAGAAAGTGAGAAAGGAAGGAGGCAGATAATTCACTACCTGTGAAATGGGGCAGCCTGAGCCCTCAAGTGGGAAGAAATGTTTAATTACTGGTTAAGGAGGAGATGAATTTCTGCCTTGCTGTGGTGGGTGGGTGAAATCTGAGCCCTTCCCCAGACCTTTGGGTGGTGAAAGTTTTTGGTTTTTCTGCTGACCTGAGCAGTGTTGAGCATCCTCATCTGCTGGAATAAACAAAGAATTATCTATGTGCACCATAGTAGAAGACATTGATGCCAAATAGGTCAAGAAAAATCTGTTGCTGACCTGTTTAAAAATACTCCAGAGCTCTTGATGATTTTTGGATGTGTGAAGAACTGAATACTGCAATACAATAAAAAAAAAAAAAAGGGGGGGGTGTTTCTAGTCATAATCAGTCTTCCCTGGAGCAAACATGAAAGGTTTTGAAAGTGTTTAAAACCCACACAAGGTAATTGTGGTGTTTTCTAGTAAAAGATTGAAAGTAATAGAGCAAACTTTCACTGATGTCTGGTTTTCATTTCATTTCAAGTCCCTACTTACAGAATGCAGCCTGTGACCCCCCTGGGGATTCTGTCACTTGTTCTGAACATCATGTGTGGAGCTCTGAACCTCATCCGAGGAGTTCACCTGGCAGAATATTCCTTTCAGGTAACCCTGAGTGCTCCCAGACCTGAGAATGAGTGAAAGGCAGAGAGTTTTTGGGTACCCAGTTCAAGGGTGGCTGTTCTGCCCCTTAGCTGAGCACAAGAAAGTATTTTGTTTCTCCAGGGAATGTACAGTTGGTTGCTCACCTGCTACACCTTTGTGTATTTTCCTGTACATCACAATATTGTGCATTTTATCCTGTTCTAGAGGAGTTTAAATTTTGAGAAATATTTTATTCTTACCACGCTGCCTGGATTTTTTTTCTCCATTCTTGCATTTTATTTTAGATCCTTTTCTGTAATTTTTTTTTAAAAATAAACATGAGACTGTAAACAACTTTAAAAAAGGGGGAAAAAAGTGTCCTGATTGTATCCTGACACAGTTTTATTTAGCAGGAGCTGTCACATAAGCCTCAGTTCTTGGTGTCTTATCCAATGATATTGATCTTGGTGTTTGACACTGTTACAGTCAATCAACATAAACTGGGATAAGAGGTTCTTGACTATATTTATAATGTTCTCAAATATCAAGCAGCACTTGCTAAAAGCTGTGCCTGACGTAGTTGTCACTTCTTTTAATCCCAACAGGAGGACCATGAAGGAATTGGAAATGTGATAGCTTTTTTTCTACCTTTTCTAGCCTGTGTTTTTCAGGTATGTTAACTGCAAATAAAATTCTTTGCTGATTATTTTGTTGTTATAATTCACAAAGCAGAGCCATTTTCATCTAAGCAGAGGTTTTTAATATCCTAGCTAGGTGATTCCACTGATTTATTCCAGTGAAGTGGCACAAAAGCAGTTCAAGGCACGTTTTGACCCTTGGGAAATTGCATTTGCAGGCTTTTTCAATGCTTCCACGTTCTGACAAGTCAGAGGGGGCTGGGTGTGATGGATAAATGCCATCCCAGAGATGGTTTCTTCCCAAAAGGATGGACACATCTTCCTGTCATTGTCAGACTTAGTGATGGGCTTTTGCAGCACAACCACCTGAGCAAATATTGGACAGCAACATTATTGAAAATGGTGTAATTTACATGAAAAATCACATTGAATCCTGATGGTTCCTTAGATTTTTTTTCCATCGTGGGGTTATTTTCTCTGACCTTACACAGAAGAGTTTGAATGAGGAAAATACCACATGTTCCAAATTGTTTTTTACTTGAAAGGCTCCTTGAATTCCTAACAAAATTGAGTTAAAGGTGAACCTTTAACTTGAGGGCAATATATGCTGGAAAATCTTCAGCTTTCAGCCTGGCATTGCAGAAAGGTGCTGCAGTTTTGTTTCTAGAAATAACTGATGCCTACAGTGCATTCATTGCCCTTGTTGCTTTTGCATCATGGTTTGGGGACCACTATCTGCAGTCTTTGATGTATTTATGGGATTATTTGTTGTATAATGATACAATTTAGTGTCTTTCAGCTTTCTTACACCTTTGCTCATGGCAGAGTTTTGGGGTGAATAGATTTATTTTGATCTATTAGATTTATTTCGATCTAATAGATGGATTTAGATCTAATAGATTTATTTTGATCTAATAGATTTATTTCGATCTAATAGGTGGATTTAGATCTAATAGATTAATTTAGATGTAATAAATTAGTTTAGATTTAAGTGCTTGATGCAAGCTGTTTTTCACAAAGAAATACTCTGTGCTGTCTCTTTTCCTGTGAGTACCTGAAGCCAGGGAAGCTGAATAAAGGAGAGTTTTCTCTTCTTCTTTTGATTTATAGCAGCTTCTCCCCAAAAGCTCTGCACAACCTGCAGTGCTTTCCACGTGCTGACCTCTGCCTGTGGCATCAGCCCAGTTGGAAATTGTGACCTGAGCTGACAAAGGCTGATCAGTCACTGCCTGAGGGGAAGAAGTCTCTCCTCTGTCAGCACTGGGAGCTTTTCATGTTCTCCTGTGAGGGTTTTGCCCTTCACATGCTCAGAGGATGGGTCCCAGGCAGCAATTCCCAGCTGGTTTTGTGCAGAGTTCAGTGCTAACTCTCCCTCTCTGCTCCTTTTGCAGTGTTACCTGTACCTCTTCTACAGCTCAGCCAGGAAGGTGAAGACATTTGTGCTCCTTTTCTGTGTCTGTTCATGCAACATCTACTTGTATGGATTGAGGAACCTCTGGCAAATCTCCTTCCACATAGGAGTGGCTTCTCTTTCTTCTTACCAGATCCTGACAAGGCAGCTCCTGGAGAAGCAACCTGACTGTGGTGTATGAAGAAAAAAAAAACAAACTTGGGGTTTGCTACTCTGTTTTTACAACTCTTTTTTTGTATTCACCTGGCCAAAAATAGCTCAGAGTGTTTTTTTTAACCATCCATGGCAATGGTTATTGCAAGGAGAACAGTTCCAAGCAACTTGGGATAAGTAGGATCCTGTAATTATGTCCAGCAAGGAGTGCAGCTGTATTTCACGTGGTTTATGGTGGAGCTTGTCAGGTGTCACCACAGATGGAAGTTCTTACCTTCAGCAGGCTTTTCCTCCTTGGCTGCCACCATCCAGACAGCATTTTGCCATTTGTCTCACTGGCTCTGTGAGAGCTTGGCAGGTCAGTCTTGCCCTGCTGCTGCAAATACTCAAATTGTGTAGTAGAACAAAGGTAAAGTGATGGGTAACATTTTTGTCTCTAGATTTTCTTGGTAAATGTGAGTAAAGGGGTTGTTTGCTGTAATTAGGTGAGTGCAGTATCAGTGGGAAAAATGCTGAGGGTGAGCTTCAGGATCACTTTTCTAAGTTTGGAAGGACAGGGAAAGGCTGTGGCTCTTTTATAAACCATAAAGTCTATAAATATCTCCTTGGCTCTACAGCACATTGCAGTTTAGTGTGTGCTTATGGGTTAATTGCAAATATGCTTGGGGCAGCAGAAAATAATCCAAATGAGTGTAAGTGATCTGTCAGCTCTTGTGGCCTTTGTTTCCTTGGCTAAGGTCACTTTTAGGATAAGGGCAATTCCATGTTTGCTTGGCCTGTATGGATAATAAATCTTCCAGGCCACTGACCCCTTCACCTTTTTTTAATAAAATGAGTAGCTAGTGAGTAGAAAGCAATTTCCAGGAATGGAAAGCAAGAGCAGGTTCTCTTTGTTCTGTGAAACAGCCTATTTATGACAGGCCACTGACTCCTTCACCTTTTTTTAATAAAATGAGTAGCTAGTGAGTAGAAAGCAATTTCCAGGAATGGAAAGCAAGAGCAGGTTCTCTTTGTTCTGTGAAACACCTGTGGGTAATGGTGGTGAATTCTTACACTCAGATGAGTTTCTGGGTGTGCACTTTGGAATAGGGGACTGGAATTCCCAACCTCTGCTGCACTGGCTGTTCTGCTCTGTCATGGATCCAGGTGCACAGGGGCATTTTAGGGCATAGAGGAATAATTTAGGCTGGCTGTTAAAAAAATGCATAGCAGTTTGATGCAGCTGTCCTTGAGGGGTTGTAGAGATTCAAACTGTAGGTATGTTATTGTGGAATTATGGTCCTAAAATTTCCTTTTTTTTTTATTTCATGGTCATCCCCATGTCTTTCACCAAAGATTTCTTTTTTCTCTCACACAGTCTCTACCTCTGGTTGCAAAGAGATTAACATGCAGCAGAGTCATCTTTTTTTTGCAGGAACACTTGAGAAAATTCCTTTCTTTTATCTCAGTGAGTTTTCCTGGAATCTCAGGATGTAAACACGAGGATCAGACCAGAAATTTGTGGTGCTGGACCTTGGAAGCACTTCTGGATGCAGCTGACTGCAGCAACAGCATCCATGGGCAGCCCATTACAACCTGGACAGTTTCTAGGACATCAGGAAACTTAGTGCCAGAGCTTTTCCCAGGAGGAAAATGTAGGAATTTCTTTTTCACTGCGCTTACTGGAACAGCAATGTGATAAAAACCTCCAAAGTGTGAGGAATAGTCTGGTAGGAATGATGGAGGAATATTTCAGCCAGGCATTTAAGGACACAGCTCGAGCTGTGTGCGATAAGGGAGAGGTTTTCTGTTATAAGGGAAGGGATTAAAGTTGTTTTTCTGCCATTATCCCAGTTTTCTGTCAGTCTGCAAGTGGAGAAATGAAGCCACAATTCAAACACTGTCCCTGAGACACCAAGATGACCCCACAGATATGAGGGGTTTTGTGCTGCTCTTAATTTTCATACAGTTACCAGTTTTCCCTGGTAAATTACTTCTGGAGACTGCAGGGAACTTGCAGCCACAAGTTTGGATTACAAGTTTAAAAAAAAAAAATCTGAAAAAAGAACACCCCAGAAATCTGACACTAGAAACTTAACACTTTAAGGGTAATGGATCTGGTGTTTTCCAGGAGCATAAATTGGGTAAAAAATTGCATAAATTGGATTCCTGTGGGGAAAGGATGAAACATTTTATACTACAGACAGACAAATCTTCATGGAAAGGACTTTAGGACAGGAGCCAACTCCCTGCTCCTGCCTTTTTATCCTCACTGTGGCTAAAGAGTCCAGAAGAGCTTTTCCAGTTTCTCCTGGGCTTGGCTAAAGCCAGCCCACAGGGAGCATTTCCAGAGGGCATTCCTCTGGGCTGATTGGAAAAATTGTAACATTCCTGCTGCTTCCCCAGCATCCAACTGCTCTGTCCTGAAACAGATCCATCCCTGAGCCAGGGGATGGCAGCCACAGCTCTGCAAAGGGGTGCTAGAACAGGCTGGCTGGATAATTGTGCAATTAACAGAGTGGAGAAAGGTTAATTTCAGCTTTTTTTGAATTGGTTTTCCTAAAAATATTTCAGTAAAATCAAACCAAATCAGTTGGTTCAGTTCTGCCTTTGCCTAAACGTCTATATTTTTTGCTTTGTGGATTTTTGGGGAATGTGGCTGAATCTTGAGGTGTTTTCTACCCAGTGACAAAGCTCTGTTTTGGTGTTGGTCTTAATCCCTTTGCAACCTTTTATTTTCCTGTAATATGTGTAAACCATATTAAGGAATCTACATGCATTAGTCTGTGTGCACTTCATAGGTTTGGGTTTGGGTTCCAGGATGAGGCAGAGCACACAGAATTTCAGAATTTGACCTATTTTTCTTTTTAATTTGGTATTTATCCCATGTCCACACAGTATTTATACAGTTAAACATTTTCTCTTGGCAAAACAGCAAGAGGAATAGAATAGTTTACATTGATCTCAGTGCTTTAAGATTTGATAAAAAAGAATGACTTGCAGTTTGAGAACACAAAATCTGACTCATAATGTGGGATTTTTCCTGTATTGAATCAAATCCCCAAAGAGAAATCCATCCCTTTTTGCAGCTTTAAACTGGTTGATGTGGTTTGAATTGCATCTTCTTCATTCTGTCACTTTGCAAGAGAAGTCTTTTGGAAACTCTTCTCCTCACCCAGCAGCTCAGCACAAGCAAATTGGCAAAGAATAAACTTCAGTAATTTCCAGATTTGCTTACTCAGTGCTTAGTCACTTTATGAAGCTGGTAATTCTCTGGTTTCTTTTTTTTTTCCCCTTTTCTCCCAAAGACCTGTTGAGTTTGTAGAAGGTGGGCTGGTACCTTTTTAGACATTTTTGCACTGTATTAATAATTAAACCTGTGTAAATGTGTATAAAATCATTTTGCATGTATATGTATATATGTACATATATCTAATAAATGGCTTTTTTTGTAATGGTTGTCTTCATGCAGTGTTTGGAATTTATTGATTATATGAGATAAAAGGTTAATCAGTCATTCAATTTTTGCAGGCACCTTCAGTGATCCCTGTGGCCAATTCATCAGCTGAGCTGTATAAACCTATTTATAAATAGATATAGAAATTCAATTATCCAAGCAGGGGATTGGGATAGAATCCCAATTTGCAGAATCCTCTGTTGCAGGAGGCTGGGATAGAATCTCCTTGTGGCTTTAACAAGCTTGCTTTTTATTTTCAGAGACTCTCAGAGGCTTTTCCTGCAAAACTTGTGTGTTGAAGTGGTGAAATGAGATGTGACACATCCCAAAGGTGCCTTTCCAGCTGCCTGGCAGGGATAGTGGGGATGTGGCAGTTTGCAGGTGCATTTTTAGCCTTAATGAAAACAGGCTTGTTAATTAGTCTGTCCCTGCTAAGAGCTTGTGGACTTTTTTGGGGGAATTTCAGCCACCTTTGCTTATGGCTCTGAAGACACCAATTCATCAGCTTTTAAGCAACGAAGGGGTTAATGTGACAGAAAATTCACCTTTTCCATCACTGGAATGGGATGGGTTCATGTGTGGGGGAGATGCTTTGTGGGGCAGGACTCAGAGGATTCTGCTGAATCAGGAACCAGAAAATAAAGCAAATATCAAAGAGCTGGAAGAAATCAGGTTTGTGGAGCTACTGGTTTCTTCCCATTTTTCTGCTCCCTGCTTCTCCACGGGATATCTAATGGCTTCAAACTGACAGAGGGCAGGGTTAGATTAAATATTAGGAAATTTCCTCACTTTGAGGGTGGGGGAGACCCTGACACAGGGTGCCCAGAGCAGCTGTGGCTGCCCCTGGATCCCTGGAAGTGTCCAAGGCCAGGTTTGGAGCAGCCTGGGACAGTGGGAGGTGTCCCTGTCCATGGCTGGGGTGGCACTGGATGAGTTTTCAGGTCCTTTCCAAGCCAAACCACTCTGGGATTCTGTGGCAAAAGCAAAACGAAGCTCAGAGAGAGGGAGAAGCCCCTGGAGTGAGGAGAGAGGCAGAGCAGGGGGTGGGAATCAGGAGGAGAGAGCATCATTCTTCTGAACTGCTCTGCCCTTTGAAATCCAGATGTTATTTTTGTTCTGTAAATAAATGATTGCTCAAAGCGTGTTTCTTCTCAGGATGCCAGTGGAGGGGAACAGCAGCCTCTCCCTTTCTTCTGTGGTGAGGGGAGAAAGCAATTATAACTCCCTTTCTCTTTTGAAGATGCTGATAAAAGGAGGTGGGAGGATCAGAGGGTCCCTGTGCCGAAACAGAAACAACTCCTGAGGTGATAGAAATACATGTTTTTATTTTAAACAAAGTAACTGCACTTCTGCTGACTTTCAAAGGTGACCCAGTTGCATGGAAAAACTTGTTTGTGAGGGGGGGAAGGAAACCATGGCCACAAAAGCAGGGGCAGGCAGGAGGTGGGGACAGGTGAAGTGTCCCTCTCAAGTGGTCATGGATTTAAGAGCCCTGGGCCACTGTCCTAAGCTCAGGCCAGGGCTTGCAGCAGCCTGGGGCAGTGGGAGGTGTCCCTGCCCATGGAAGGGTTGGAATGAGATGATCTTTAAGGTCCATTCCAACCCAAACCATTCTGGGATTGTGTGATTCCCTTGGGCCGCTTTTCTCCAGCTCTTGGAGGAATCCTTTAGAAAGTAATTAAATGGCAACACCAAACAAATAGCCCTAAAAAAGTCTTTGCTTTCTGTTCCCACTTAAAGTACACAGTAAGCAAAACACAAAATGCTTTTAAAATTCCCTTTGGTGGAATAAATGGAATAAATGTCTTTTGATGTAAGAATTGTAAGGAGGGCTTGAAATAATGACCATTAAAAGGTAAAGCACCTTTCAGTACAGCATGGAAGGCTGAGATTAATCCTTTCATTATGCAGGGGGAAAAATTAACTGTTGGATCCCTGGATACTGAGAATTTTCTGAGGGCTTTCTGTGCTGCCAGGCACTGACCCCCAGGAGAACACTGCATTGACCTGAGGCTGTGGAGAAGCTTCCAAAATGGAATGACAGAACTGGGAATGTGGGTGTGGAGTTTGAATAGAAGTGTGTGACTCACAGGGTGGGAAACTTTGAGACTGGGGTTTTACAATATAGTAATATAGATAAAGCCAGACAGAGGTTTTAGGGCAGAGGCTGGTCCTTCACCTTCTCCTTCCCCTTCTTCTCCATGGGTTTGGGTGGTTTTGTGTAATTGGATAAAAAAGTCCCCATTGCAGCCACGGGTGGTTGGTTATTGGGTTAAAAGTAAAAATAATTTAGGTGTCATTTCTTAATTGGACATTTTATCCTTAAAAGGCCTTGTAGAGAGAGAGAGATGGGGCTCCATTTTTAGTTTGTTAAAGTGCTGTAGAACTCAGGGTTTGTGAGACTGTGCCACAGATAAAAACTAAAAGGTAAGGGACAGGAACAGAGAAAATAGCCTCAGGTTGTGCCAGGTTCTCCCTCAGCCTGGGGAGGGTTGGGTTAGATTTTAGGAGAGATCTTTTTACAGGAAGGGTGGGCAGGCACTGGAAGTGGCTGCTCAGGGAAGGGGTGGTTGAGAAACACTCAGGTGATCCACAGCAGGAACCTCTGGTGCTTGAGGCATCCCAGAGCTGGCAGCTGGGTTTTTGGTTTGGACTCAGAAGCAAAAATTCCCCTGATGAGTCACAATCACAGAATCAACGAGGCTGGGAAAGCCCTCCAAGGATTGAGTCCAACATCCTCAACTCCACCACTAAATCATGTCCCAAGGTGCCACACCCACAGGTTTTTTTAACACTTCCAGGGATGGTTGCCCTGTGCTGGTGGTACTGAAACTTCTGCTTTGTGTCTGGCCCGTGTTTAAGTAATAAAGTCACTTTTCTGCTCTTTGAAGCTTCTTCCTGGTTTGTTCTGTGGCTGCTGAAGCTGGAGGGGGCAGGTGGGGAGCAGCAGCACTCTGTGGTGAATACACTAAACCCAGCAGGGAAAAGCCTTGTTCCCCCCATTCCCAGGGCTCCTTGGCTGTTCCCTGAGCTCACACAGGATTTCCTGATCCCCAAAACATGAACAGGAACAAAACACTCCCCTATGCAGGGGGTGTACACCACACCTGGGGTGCTGTGCCCAGCTCTGGCCCCTCAGTTTGGGAAGGACCTTGGGACACTGAGCACGGCCAGAGGGGACAGCGAGGCTGGAGAGGGGCTGGAACACAAACCCTGAGAGGAACCCCTGAGGGAGCTGGGGGTGCTCCCCTGGAGAAAAGGAGACTCAGGGGTGCCCTCCTCACTCTGCACAGCTCCTGAAAGGTGCCTGTGCGCAGCTGGGGCTGGGCTCTGTCTGCAGCAGCACTGACACAGCCAGAGCACACAGCCTCCAGCTGCACCAAGGGAAATACAGGCTGGATAGCAGGAAAAAGTTTTTCACAGAAAGAGTGATAAAGTTGTGGAATGGCTGTCCGGGGAGTTGGTGCAGTCACCATCCCTGGGTGTGTTTAACAAAGCCTGGATGTGGCACTGGGGGCCAGGGTTCAGTTGAGCTGTTGGGGGTGGGTTGGACTCGATGGTCTTGAAGGTCTCTTCCAGCCTGGGAATTCTGGGAATTCTGTGAATAACTCTTCCCTGGAGGTGCTCAAGACCAGGTTGGATGGGCCTTCAAGCAGCCTTCTAGTGGAAGGTGTCCCTGCCTCAGAACTTGATGATCATGAAGGTTTTCCCCAAGCCAAACCATTCTCAGATTCCGTGATTCTATAACAGCAAGGAATAATTTGGCTTAAAATCAAAAATATTGAAACAATCTTCAATTCTTCTGAGCTTTCTGCTTTTCCCTTTTCCAGACACTGGGAGGCACCAGTGCACAAGGCTGGGAAGGAAGCTGAGGGGAACCTGCCAAATTTCCTACCTGCTCCTACAAATGCTACACTTTCCCCTGCAGATTTTGCTGTAGAATTCCTGAAAGAGAGATAAAACACCCTGGCGATTGTAGCATGGTCACTTCGGGGCTGCAAATCTGCTTAACTGGCAGGGCTGGAGCCGGTTTGTCAGAAGCAAAAAGTCACTGCAGCTTTTAATTTTTAGTTTGGTGTCTTTAAGGAACAAAGCCTCGCTCTTTGTGCTGAATGGAGGCGCGCCTGCTCTGAGCCCTGGAGGTTTGCTCTCAGCCCGAGGGATTCAGGAAGGGACTGGAGGATTTCTGAGGCACACATCCATACATTCCTGGTCCTTAATCCATCTGCAGAAACTGCCTGGAAAGCTGAGGTTTGGGAAGAGACTTGTGGCAAAGCCTTGGTTCCAAACCTGCTGATAAATGGGCAAGGGGTGATGCTGCCCTTGCGACCTCGGCAAGAGGAGGTGGCACAGAGTGCCAGGAACGGGCAAAAAGGATGGATTTCCCCAGCTTCATCCCACAGTCAATTTGCTGCTGTTGAGGAGTGAAGGGGAGGAGTCCTGTTTGCATCTGCAAGAAGTTGCCTACTTCTGGTATCACCTGTGGTCAGGAAAACAATTCCCAGCCACAATTTTAGGGATTTCTTTCAGCAATTTCTTTCCCTGTAGTGGTTTGGTTTTGGTTTTATTTTTTTTTTTTTTTGAGGTTTTTTGTTTGTTTTATATCTCTTCCTGATCATTGCATGGGGAGTGCTGAGCTGTCATGTACCACATCTTCACTGGCAAAGAGTGAAGCACTGCTGGGGCATCTCCAATCCTGGCGTCAGTTTTTGGGAAAAAGGACATTGAGGGGCTGGAGCACGTCCAGGGAAGGGAATGGGGTTGGGAAAGGGGCTGGAGCAGCTGAGGGAGCTGGAAAGGGGCTCAGCCTGGAGAAGAGGGGGCTCAGGGGGGACCTTGTGGCTCTGCACAGCTCCTGACAGGAGGGGACAGCCGGGGGGCCAGGCTCTTCTCCAGGGAACAGGGACAGGAGGAGAGGGAACGACCTCAAATAGTGTCAGGGGAGGATTAGATTGGACATTAGAGGAAATTTCTTCATGGAAAGGGTGGTCAGG